AGGAATGCCCCCTGTGGCTCTCTGCAAATATACCCTCCCAAGCCTGTGAAGTGGAAATTGATCAGACAGTTGATCGTGTGCCTTGGACTGCCATTCAAACAGCTGGAGTTTGCCTCCTGTAGATCCTTCTTTTCGGCAGGACCGCAGAGAAAACCCACTTCCAGCGGCTTCCCAGTGGATTTTTTTTTTTTTGGTCCAAGCAGGTGATCCTTCATTCCCCTTCCACCGTCGTCCCCCATCTTTCACTTCTTTTCCTTCCCACCCCCACCCCACCCTGACTGGACTACTCCCTCCCTTGGAGAACACGCCCAAGTAAGCTGAAGAAGAGAGAAAAGATAGATAGTAACATTGAACCTGAGGGGAAATCCTTCCAGAGCTGCGGCGTGCGGCGAGAGGCAGAGATTATTAAAGCCTATACATTCCCCAGCGCGCTCCCAAGTGTTACGTGTGACAGGCATACAAATCCGGAATAGAGAGGGAGAGAGGGAGTGAAGAGAGAGACCCAGTGGAGGGCTATGGTGATTGTCTCTTGGGATTTACAAACACACACCGCTCGCTCCGGGTGGCTCCGATCGCAGGAGGGCTGGTCTGTTTTGTCTGCATTACTTTGACCTGGCGTTGCACTGTCTGAGAAATTAACCAGCGCGCAAAGAGTGTGAAGGAGGGGAGGGGGGGACGGACCGCTTTTTTCCCCCCATAAGAGATATAATTTTGCATGTTGGTCTGAAAGCCAAGCGCAAACGAGGAATATGAACAGGAAAACCAGGCGCTGGATATTCCACATCGTTCTGAGCCTAGGGCTTGTCTATATCAAAATTGGGTAAGTCACCTCCTCTCTCTCTCTCTCTCTCTCTCCCCCCCCCGCCCTCCACTCTTTAAACGCAAACGTACTGTGCCTAACCTGTCCAGACCTGTTAGTATTCAACTTGAGGAAAGTCTGGAAGAGGTTTTCTTTTTAAAGCTAGGACAACAAGATGATGGGGTTTTTCTCTCTCTCTTTTGCTGTTGTTCTCGGTGAAGTTCTAAGTGTGTGGCGAGGGGGGGGGGCACAGAGAAAGCCCTGGCGCGAGGCATGCCTAGAATGGCAAGTTGTGCCACTTAAGTTACCGCTGGACCGCCTGGGGGGTGGTGGTGGTGGAAACCAACAACCCTCAAGGCTCTACTTGCCCGTGCGCCGCAAGGCAGGGAAAAAGCTAAACCTGTCTCGCTCGCCTCGTGGGGAAACTGGCCTTCTCCCAGGAGGTGGTTTCTACGAGCAAAGCACTCTGCACATGCTCGGGAGACATCATTTCTTCCACAAGTTCTAGGGCTGGACTGATGAACTGCTCGGCGTTTTCGGTAAGGCACAACCCATTCGCATGGCACCTACGTCAGCTCACTCAGCAGCCATCTGCAGATCTAGTAGAATTGCCTACGGGTTAATAATGCTACATAATTAGTGACTTGTGGATCGCACCTCGAGCCCGAAAGCCAATGGCAGCTCCTTTGTCACCACCGGCAGAACACAGTGGGCGCTGCCACTCTATTGCACCCGAGCGCGCCCAGAGGACCGCGCAGAAAGCGACGGGGGAGGGGCGCTATCCTAAACAAGTCCATCTAAAGCAGGTCCCATTTATCCCAAGGGAACTTGTCTCCAAGTGTGCTCAGGATATTCATTTCTGAAACTGTTTATACAAGCTTTGTGCCTAAAACATCCTAAAAGCACCAGGGGATTAAAATCCAGATCTGCTTTGTGAAACTGTAGACAGTCATCCCGTTCTTGGATTCTCAGGTAGACTCGGTGCTCTTTGAAACTGATACGTGCTTGTATGAAGCTGCTGTGTTTGTACCTCTGTGCGTATTCACTTAGGTATAGAACACATGGCTCACCTATACATCTCCCTAACACAGCAAAGCTATGGATTTGGTGATCGAGTGCAGCAAGGAAGAGGGCGACAGTCCACTTCTTTTCTTTTTTTAAAGCCAGGAGATTTTGATCCCTGCAGACCAGTGACTCGCTCGGAGTTTCAAACGCAATAGCAGCCTGATCCTGCGGCGCCCACCCTTTTGTTTGGGAGCGAGCGTTTTGTTTGGGAGTGAGCGTTTTGTTCAGGAGGTGAACTGCCGCGCGCTATAATTTATGTATCAGGAAGTTGGGTCACACTTTGGCCAAAGCCCACGTGCTCCTTATCGCTCGTTTAATTATAGGCCGACAAAACTATATATAAAGACTGGGGGGGGGGTGCGGGATAAAGCGAGGCTCTGGTAGCCCATTCAGCTGAGCTCCTCGGTCTTTTCCTTACCCTCTTCTGATCGTCATCCCCGGGGCGGGCAGATAAGCACAGCAGCGCTGGGCTTGTCTCGGCCACCGGCTGGCTGAGTAAAATGCTGTTTTCGGTTCTGCTCGAGTATGTGCTGCAACCTGCCAGTTGACATTAGCAAACAACACCCGGGGAGGGTTGTTGTGAGTGCCTCCGAGAGGGAAAGCTGCACGCACGCTCTCTCTGGTTCAACACCCCCTTGCCCGGGACTATTGTGGGGATGTCACCAAAGTTACAAAACGTTTGGCTGCGTGAAAGGTTATACTTGTCCATAATGATAAGCTACTGTCACGACTCGATGGGCAGATCAGAGGGCTTAACGGGGTTTAAAAGGCACCGGAGTCTGCTTTGAAGTGCCAAACCTGCTATTTCCCGCGCATTCAGAAGGGCGCTCAACTAAGAACCGTCTTAGAGAATCGATTGACACCAAAGCGGCGGGGGCGTTTCCGATGATGATCCGCTCCGTCCAGATCAATCTCTCTCTCTCTCTTTTATCCCCCCCCTTCTAGGGGCTTTTCCTCCGTGGTGGCTCTGGGGGCCAGCATCATCTGTAACAAGATCCCCGGCTTAGCTCCTAGACAGAGGGCGATCTGTCAGAGCAGACCTGATGCCATCATCGTGATCGGAGAAGGCTCCCAAATGGGAATCAACGAGTGTCAATTTCAGTTTCGCAATGGACGGTGGAATTGCTCGGCCTTGGGCGAGAGGACGGTCTTTGGAAAAGAGCTGAAAGTGGGTATGTTATCTCTTTACCACAGAGCTGTTGCCAGGTGGAACCTGAAGTCCACCGAAGAGTTTTCAAAAGAAGAGAGGATGATAGGCTAAGAGTATAACCTCATCAGCACAACAGTAATAGTTAGGAGACAGTGCCTCAGCGGAAGTTCATGACCCCTCCTGTATGCTGGTTTGCCTTGCCTTTGGGAGCACTGGAAGTAGCAGGCCTGTGCACTGCAGGTGTATAGTTGCTATCTCCTCTGCTATCCCTATTACTGAGTTATATGTGTGTGTATCTATATCTCTATCTGTCAGCATCTCTTATTCTAGGCACAAACATTTCTTTACAGTAAACACACTTGAATGGGATTTCTGAGCTAATTATGAGTTCATGTATTGGGCTGCAAGACTGCAATTGTAAATGGACTTACCAGGGTAAAAATCCCACTAAACTCAATGGGATTCAGTTCTGAGCAAACATGCTTATTGTTATTTTGGCATTTCACACACAATGAAAAATGTCCGTGAGCCCTTTAGTGTGCAATGTCACTATTTTGTGCAATGCGTGGACATCACAAATGCCAAGTTAAAAAAAAAAAAACCTTTCAAAAATTACCCCTGAACATAGATTCCGGCCAGTGTTATTTTCCCAGTTTCATTATAAATCAATGGGGGAGGATTACAAAGTTACACCCTTCTAAATCTATTGAGCTCAATGGGCTGTGTCTAGGATATATTGTGAAGGTCCACAATGCGAAAACATTATAACAGCATGTTTAAGTAGTTAGACTGTCCCCCTGCCCCTGCCAACACACTTCAAAGTATGATTATAGGTACAGTGGGAGATCTGATCCTACGGTTGATTTGGAGTACAATAATGGGACAGTTTTCTTGGTTAGTATTTGGATGGGAGACTACCAAGGAAGTCCAGGGTCACCATGCAGAGGCAGGCAATAGCCAGCCACCTCTCTTCAGCTCTTGCCTTGAAAATCCTAGGGGGTCGCCATCGTTCGGCCATAACTTGACAGCACTTTTCACCACCAAAGGAGCAGGTTTAATTTTGGATTAGCCAACGTACTTTATGGTGGTGTAATCTTCAGTGCATGATGCAAGAAAGAACTACATATCTGAGATGTTCTCATTGGCTGTCATACTATGGTAATTTCCCTCGGAATAAGCCTCACTGACTAACATGGGATTTACTTCTGAGTAGACTTACTTAGGATTGTTCCCTTAGCTTCTTAATGGTTTCATTGTTGTCAGACTACAAATGTGTTTTTCATTCATCCAAGTAGGACGCTATTTGTTCAGCTGAGAAGTCTTTGAAATTGTCATTTGATGTGTTGTGTTTAAGGAACTTCCAGTTCTATTGCAGTGATTTCTAAACCATGAGTCAGCGGGCAAGGTTCACTAATGGATTATGGGATATTTGTGGTGTGTGGGAAGGATATGTTGTGTGTTTCCAAGGTGCCAGAAGTACAACTAAAGATCAATGCTGCACAAGATGTTTAAAAAGCTTCACTTTTGTGGGTTAAAAATAAACAGGAAAATCCCAAAATTAAGATAAAACCTAAATAACCATTTCTGGTGTTCTGTAGTAAGTGTCAATATTAGTTACATTATATTTTCTCAAATGTTGGCCATTTTATTTGGTGTTCATGGCTGTTCTAGGGATTACACTGATGTTTACATATACATTTGAACTAAATCAATGCTTAAGGAAATTCCATGTTGAATTCCCAAGTGTGATTTATCTCTGTTTAATGATTTTATTTATCATACAAGTGAAAGTTTCACAGATATTTCTCATAAGGTTGATGGCCACAATCCAACAATTCATTGTGCTAGAGACTGTCAATATTATTGGGTGTAAACATGCCTACTATTAGACTTAACCATGAAAGCTGGCTTGTTGCCAATAAACTTTGAGATACATTCAAATGCAACTGCTTTATTTATAGCTAATTTATTTACACAAATAAAATATTAGTAATCTACTTATCAATTATAAGGATAGGGTACTTTCTTGGGCATACTATACTTGGAGAAATGTGGGGTCAAAATCCAATAATGAAACAATACAGGCCTGGCATATTCCATAGTCCTTACATTATAATTTATTTTTTAAAGTTAACATTATTAATATTTTATCTTTTTTTTGTGCTTATATAACAAAGCTCCCTTGGGAGTGCATCTGAGGTAAGGTGTCACTTGTTAGTAGCCATGTTCTTCTCCAGATGTGCAATGTGCTAATTTTGCTACCCATGGTTTCAGTCATCTTTTCCTCATATCAAAATAACAAAGACGGCATGTCCAATGTACTGGCTGGGAGCCTCTGTAACATTTATGCCACATTGATCCTTTATTTCCATGTATAGTAACTTAGCCATCTTCCACATAAGTTAATGGAGGCAAAGTGGTGGTTTCAGAATGGCTTCTCTCTGAATGAGGCAAAACCCTGATGTTCTTCCCTTACACAATTTCTAGCATCACTCCCTCTCCCCACCCCTGGCTATCCATTGCGTCGACAATATTTGAACACAGTGAGACATGTTAAGGGCAGAGTTCCAGGCATGTGATCATATGGTATTTTTAATCCACAGTCAAAATTGTTATATGTGTAATGGCATGAATTCCACTTTCAGAGGAGGAATGCATGAGTCTATGACTCCAGACCTGAAGACTGTTGGAAGGGAGCCAGGCAAAGTTCAAAGACTCTTTGGAAGCAGGAGCACTCATAGACTCTTGTGGTAGCCTTCGGGGCATGCAGAGGAAGAAGCCAACACAAAGAGGCAGGCGTGCCTAAGGCATTTCTGGGCAGGGCCCTTTGATAGGTTAGGAGTGGTTATCCAGGCCCATTTAGACTTAATCCACCAATGCTTACTTGTGCATCAAAGTCAGCAGAGGGTCTAAATTATGGACTGAACACAGCCAAGAGCAGTCTGGAATGGGAAAGTAATACTACAGTCTTGATGCTTCTTATTGTTTGCAAGTGTATATGAAGGAAATAGTATGAGATAAATATGCAATCCTAAATCGATTTACATTCTTTTAAATCAACTGAAGTCAATAAACTGAGAAGGCTGTAACTTTATTTAGGATTACATTGTAAATTAATTTTGCTGATACTACAGGAAACATCAGGTCTCAAGCATTTCCCCTCCATCTTTCAAGCTAAAACAACCAACAGCAGAGGTGTATAATATAATGTATCCTATACAATATGTGTCCCATTGTTACCCCTGTTTCTGTGGAATTCGTCCAGAATATCAAGGACAGGCTATTGCCCTTATATATTTCAGACCACATCTAATTGTTCCTCATGTCAGGGGAACCTCTGTCTGGGCTAGCTCACTGGGTCTAGACATGGATTGACTATTGTTGCAAACACTGAAGTTGTCTTAGTGCTACATGAGCTGGCCAAAGGCACAAATCTATTAAAAGGGGGTTTAACTGAAAGTAAGAGGCTGTCCTAAACTGATAAGTATGCTGTAGATGTGGCTTACAAAAAAAAAAAAAAAAAGCACAACATAAGAACATAAGAGACGCCAATGTTGGATCAGGACAAAGGCCCATCCAGTCCAACACTCTGTGTCACACAGTGGCCAGAAATACCAGGTGCCATCAGGACAACACTGGACTCAAACTTTGTTCTGTTACTTCAAATCACCTAAATAATAAGCACAGCAAATTGTCTTCTCTGATTTTTGCAGCCTGGAATATGAGCACAGCTAAAGCTTGCCAAATGCTGGCCTCTCTAATCTCTCTCCTTTCCCTGAAATCTGGAAGGATGACCTGGTTGTATGGGTTGCTTTGTGATATCATTTTGCTCAAATATGCAGATCTGTGGAAGCAGGTGTACACTATAATTTATATATGTTGTGCCCATTTCCTCCCATGCTGTCTCTAAGTTAGGCCATAGTAGTGGCTTAGTTCGCTTTGTCATTCTTATCTGTTCCCTTATTATCTCAGTGGTTTCATTTAAGTGCTCTCAAAGGGGTAAAGACTAAACAGGCTTTCTTTGGTCTTTGGGCATGAGTTGTACTGACTGCTCTCTAGATCAGCAGTTGTGGTCCAGGGAAATGATTTGCACACAAACAAACATTACCAGCTGTTTACCGAGGTATTCCTAATTACTCCCATTTCAGTGGTTTCCTGTGGAGAAATATAAACAATTTTTTAAATCCAGAGGAATGTCCAAAGTGAGTTGGGAGTTCAGAGGTGCTGGGGGGAAAGATCAGACCTGTATGGGGGTGTTTCAAACTCATGTCTTTAGGCTGGAGCCATCTCAGTTTGTCCATCATAGTGGTTCTCTTTAATATTGTTGTAAACCAGCTTAGATAGTGTTGGTCTGCAGAGTTGGGAAATAAATATTCCCAAATCAAAGAATCAATCAGTCAATCAGTATCGTCTGATTGAAGGTGATTCTGGGAAAAATGGAAGCAATGGAGGGAGTAGGTAGGTCCCCTGACTTGGAGGGAATAAGGATCAAGCAATAGTGGAAATAATTCTTAAGCGAGTGAAATTGTTTGATAGAGACTTCACTATTGGTGATGTGAACACTCTGTCGCCACGGCTGTTTCTGGCTAAACAGATTTGGCAGGTTTTTGAAACAATACGAAGGTCCTATCTGTTTTCCAGAGGCAAAAGTGGGAAGTGTAGCAGCAAGCAGTGATCTCTCTTTCAAAGCAACTTGAACTCTTTTGGGAAACACCACTATCATCTACCTTTGGTACTGTGAAATGGAGAAGTACAAAATTATATAGCAATCATTGCTTGTATACATTGATGCACAATGATTAAAGCTAAATCAACAATGACTGAGTTTTTGAATGTTCAGAACGTATTAATATCTACATCCAGATTCCAAGGCCCAGTAAAAGATTTGGTATAATGAAAGCACTTCCTCCTGTGAACAAATTGCTAGGAGAGAAAATAGGATCACATTGAGAATATCATTATGAAGGTTGTGCCCACTGGGAATTTCTCTTGAAGAACTCATTTGAAATGAATGTGAGTTGT